AAGCTTCATAAGGGCAAGGATTTCATTCTTTCTTATTTTCACTGCTGTTTCCCCAAGCCTAGAAATGTGCCTGGAATACAGTGAGCACCCACTAAGCATTTTTGGAACATACAAATGAAAGAGGAGTTGACTCCTGAGTTTTTTATGAAGGAGGAATAAAAAATATTGAGTGGGTGAATGACATTCCAGAAATGCCCTGTAAGTAAGTGCCTGGAGGTGTAAACAGCACAGAGCATTCATGAATGGTTAATAGGTCTCAGTGGGTAGAGCATGTCTGGAATCATCGCAGAGATTCCAATAATCATGCAAATTTTATTTATACATGGACTCTGGATCAAATAAAAAGGAGCAACTGAGTAGAATGAAAACTTGATTGTGACCCTTTATAAAGTTCCACATTATTTCCACAATCTATAAAATAACCATAATTAAAGGACAAGGAACATGATTTTATCAAACCATTAATTAAGTGCACTCCCTTTCAAGTGTTCCTAAGTTGTCTCTAAATGTCACTGACAATATCATGATGCATATATAAAGGTGGAACTAAAATCCTCGGGTGTTTCAGATAATCCTTGTGCCAACATATAGAAGCTTAGCCAGACACTCATATTTAAGACTCGTCACATTCTGTGGCTTAGTCTCTTCATCTCTCTGACTGCATGGAAGCTTACCTCAAACAGAGCCACCTGATGTTGTCTTGTTATATGCCAGGTGAATCTGTCTACTGCTGTCAAATTTGGGACTGCGGATAGTTATGTTGCAACGTGTTAACATTTCTTCTGTCTACTCAGTTGGAGTCTTCACAGCAACTCCTCTGTCCTCAATTATTTGGAATTCTATAGTCATCCAATTCTCAGTGTTAAAACAAACAGTATATGGAGTGTAGAGTGCTCTGCTCATCACAAGGTGTGACTCATTTTATCTTCCTTCTTAGTTTTATATATGGCTTATAAATAAATTTTGTGTAACAGTTTGGAAACAGAGTACAAGATCTATTAAATAATTGTAGCTTGATAATTATCTGGATACTTGTGGGTTTTTTTTATGTTTAGAGGAATACTCTTAACAGACTAATGTGGCTATGTAGAATCCTATCCACAAACCCATAGTTTAACAAGATAAAAATTAACATGTCATAATGAGTTCTAAGGAAGAAACATTCCTAAAAGACTCATATGTTTTGAACTACTTAATTTTGAGAATTGTGAACACAGAAAGAACAAAAAACTTACCTTTCTCATTTTTCTACTAGAAATCTAGCACCTACTCTGTCTTTAAGTTTTTCATAAGTATTTTAGTTAATTGGTTAATCTCAGCTCTCCCTATTAGGCAGTCAGCAGATGGAAGGTAGGGCTTTGTCTAAGACAAAATTTATACAATCAATAGCACTATTTAATATAAGTCTTTGTGATGATGTAAATATTTCATAAATTCTGTTGTCCTGTATAGTAGCCACTAGATATGTATGGGTAGTGTGAGCATGAAATGTAGCTAGTGCAATGGAGGGCCTAAATTTTAATTTAAATATGGTGTTTCAACTTAAATCGCCACATATGACTAGCAGTTTACAGTACTGGTCAGCACAGATCTACAGTATTCAAAGTAATATAATCTTGTATCTTTTAGTGTAGAATGTATGCATTTTAAATTATCACTAAATCCTTTTATATGAATTACACACACACACACACACACACACACATGCACAGTACTGAGACACTTTGTAATTGGAAAAAATTTTAATTTTCCTAAAGGATTTGCTTAAATTTCCTGTTAACAATATTCTTTGGTTTTCACAGAATCTATTGAAATGAAAATCATAAATTTTTAAGTTGGTACAAAATGAAGTCATTAATAAAATCATTAAACTGTCAAAATTCCTAAGTTATAAAGCATTGAGCAAAACAACATATGTCTAATATCTTCTCTTTTTATTGTGTGTATGAAGCGGATAACAAGAAAGATTGTCTGTTTTTCCTGCATGACCAAAAGAGAAAATTCTCACAGATATGTGAATAGATGTGTTACTATTTTCTTCCATAAATTGATTCATTTTAGGAAGAAGAGAAAGATAAAAGGAATGTTTTTAAACTATATTCCAACTTTCACTAAACTGGGTATAAAGACAGTACATTTATTACGTTGCTAGAGACTTTCTCACAGTGTCTATTGCAGCTGTATAAACTGGCCCCCTCCTCTTCCCATTGACAAGTTCATTTTAAACAAAGTTATGACCTGCTCTCCCTGAGCTCTCTCTGCCCTTTGCTGTAAAATTCCAGTTTACCTCCCTTTTAAACCCAGGGTCACAAAGAATTTTTATTGGAAAGCTAAGTAAAACCAAAAGTGCCTATTAACTGCTTTGAATGCCACTTTGCACAAAGTACTAATCAAGATTTTCTGAGATCACACTGGGGAGCTTTATTTTGTTTCATGTATGTGGCAATAGTTTGGTGAATTTCATCTTATTGGTGAAAGACAAAGAACATATAAGCTGCGTGTAAGAAGTGGTGGCAGAATATTTATTTTATTATTGTTTAACCAGATATTTAATAGTCATACAATATACAACCTTCCTGTAGTGTATGAAACTTAGCACCACCCTTTATGAAAAAATGTTAATGAGAACTGTGGATTTTTGTTTTATTTTGCTAAGGGTGAAATCTCTACATTGACCTCTAAATACAGTTATTTAGAATCCTTTTGACAAAAATAGTTTATTTTTAAAATAAGGTATATACACATGCGCTTTTTATGCAGCAAAACTTACTGTGGATCAGTAACATTTAAAATAGTTAAACAAAGTCTTCTCCCATATTTCATCCTGATACTTTGTTCATTGCCAAGCATATAATTTTTACTAATACCTTAATGTGTATGAGTCCCTAAGCTCTAGCATTGGTCTTCTCACTGAGTTCTAGTCCAACATTTCACCAGACTAGGATGTCCTCAAGGACAGAACTCTCTCTTACTCACAGTTCATTTGCAAGGTCCCAGTAGAATGCTTATGGTTAGGGATCAATGCATACAAGAATTAATGACTGAATTTTCAACTGACTTCTGGAAAACTACAACTGTCATCATCACCTTTTTACATCTTTTCATTTTTCATTTGCTTCTTTCCCTTTTTAATATTTGTTACTGTTTGTTACTGTGTTGCTTTCCTCTAGTCACCTTTGTGAGAATCTGGAGGTCACTTTCTAGATTCTATGGCTGTCTTTACCTTTGCCAAATAGATGTCAAATTCTCTCCATCTTTAACAGAACTGACTCACAAATTCCATTGATCCTTTCATGACATTCCCATGGTTGGTATCCTATACTAGGCCTTCATTAATACTATGAACTGAACTGTGTTCCCCCAAAATTCCTATGTTGAAACTCTAACCCCCAGTGTAATTATATTTGGAGATGGGGCCTATAGGAGGTAATCAAAGTTACCTCTTTCCTCCTCCACCGTGTGCACACAAAACAAGAGACCATGTGAACACACAGGGATATTGTGGCTGCCTGCACACCAGAAACTAACCACGTTGGCATTTTGATCTCAGACTCCCAGGCTCCAGAATTATGAGAAAATCAATGTCTGCCACTTAGGCCACCCAGCCTGGGGTGCTTTGTTACTGCTGCCCTAGATAAGATAATTATCTTTTGCATAAAGCTTAATTACTGGGATTATAACTAGGCCTCTTCAAACCAATCTATTTAGGATACTGCGATCAGATATTCCAAGGCACAGAACTGACTATGTTGCTCTTTTACTGAAATGTGCTTATTACAGTCTCGTTTTCATATGATATAGTAATGATAGGTAATAAATCATTGATTATTACATGCCATGCAGGAAGCACTCAACTTGCATCATGGCATTTAATATTCATAATTATATGACATATGCAATATACTTAACCCTCCATTTGTAGATATTCCATAATTTACCTGATGTCACAGAGCTAACTAATGATAGATCCAGAATATAAACTCAGGCTTTTCTAATTCAAAGATCACAGTTTAAGCACTAATTGCATATAGTTTTTCCTGACGTGTTGTGTGAGGGATGGGAAAACTCAAGAGAAGACTATTGCAATACCCCAGTTGGTAGAGAGAATAAACATTAGTGAACAAAACCCAAAGACACATCACAGGCAAAAATCAACTGGGTCTGGAGATACATTTTAAGTCATGGAATATAACATGGTCTACCAGAATTTTAATGAAAGTTTCACCTTCATAAGAACTTACAAGTATGTATTTACTTGATTTGTGTCAAATATATCAAGTAGTATGCTTTTTTAAAAGAAATTATAAAGCCACACTTTATATGATAGATATCCTGATTTCTTTAGAATTCATCTAAAAAATGTGACTGTATTTTTTTTAAATATCTACCCTCACTTTATCTTTTTTTTTTTTTTTTTTGAGACGGAGTTTTGCTCTTGTTACCCAGGCTGGAGTGCGATGGCGCGATCTCGGCTCACCGCAACCTCCGCCTCCTGGGTTCAGGCAATTCTCCTGCCTCAGCCTCCGGAGTAGCCGGGATTACAGGCACGTGCCACCATGCCCAGCTAATTTTTCGTATTTTTAGTAGAGACGGGGTTTCACCATGTTGACCGGGATGGTCTCCATCTCTTGACCTCGTGATCCACCTGCCTCGGCCTCCCAAAGTGCTGGGATTACAGGCTTGAACCACCGCGCCCGGCCCACTTTATCTTTTGTTTGATATCAGTAAGCACCTATCACCTTTGGATTTATTTAGTTGGTATTTTAATGTTTAGAAGATGTTCTTTTCTGGTTAGGTAGTTAAAATCTTATTCAACTACTTTCCACTGAATCTCAATAAGTGTCTTTCTTATAACCAGTGCTTGATGAATGTTGATATGACTCATGGAAGATAACAAAAATCTTTGGTTATTTGCAAAATTTATTACTTAAAAACTGTATACGAATATTTCCTATAAAGGAGGAAATTAACTTTTAAATGAGGTCAAAAGAGTAGGTCCCTGACAGGATTAATATTCTTACAAGAAAAGATACCAGAGAGCTCATGTGCATCATAAATTTGTTTATAAAGTCATGAAAAAATGCTTTAATACAATGGATTTTAAAGCAACAAAGATCAAAAGAGGACATAATGGTAAAAGGATCAATGTAACAAGAAGAGCTGACGATCCTGGATGTGTACCCACCCAATACAGGATACATAAGACTTGTAAAGAGACTTGGACTCCCGCACAGTAGTAGTAGTGGGAGAATTCAACATCAATATTAGATACATCAATGAGACAGAAAATTAATAAGGATATCCTGGACTTGAACTCAGATCTGGAACAAGTAAACTTAATAAACATTTATAGAACTCTCTACTTTAAACACACAAGATACGCACTCTTATCAGTACCACATCACACCTACTCACAGGTTTAAATGAAATATTGGTTGGCCATTATTAAGCATGATTGATGGTATAAGGGAGGTTTTCAATACCCATTTTTAGACTGCATTCTAGCCTGGGCAATTAAGCAACACTCCCGTTCTCTCTCCCTCCTCCTCTTCCTTTTTCCTCTTCTTCATTCCTTTTTCTTTCTTTCTTTCTTAAAAAAAAATAAAAAACAGACAAACAAACAAATGCTTTATTACATTCTTTTTAAATCAAAATTATTAATTTGGTCTTAAATAACTGAGTGCCCATAAGGAATTTACTAGAGTTGAGGTGTTTATTCTTGCAACTTGTTTAATCTTAGAAACATCCTATTAACATGTTTAATAATGTCCTTCCAAACTTTTCAAAGAAATGCTATTTCCAACTGAAATTCAAACTATTACACATGTTTTTATGGTAAAATATCATTGAAATGAAAAGATATATACACAATTTAGACATCCTACCAGCCATATACCTTAATGGGTTTAAGAGATAATGAATAGTCAGATGAATATAGAAATAAGGCTAGAGTCCATTTTTATCATTCTTTGTAAAAGAATTTTCAATATTTTCAATACTTTTCTGAAACTAAGACTTCAACTTTTACTCTATTTTATAGCATGAATATTGTTAAATGGGAACTGTAAAATGACTGATCAAAAAGTCAAATTAAACAGCTAATTTCTCCAAAGAACACTTACAAACAATTCTTAGTTCACAATGTATGCTCACCTTTCAAGAAAAGTAATTTTCCTCCAATGAACTCTTTTGTTGATAAATCTCAGAACTGATCATTTTAAGCTGGACAGGAGAGAAATATCCACATTTCTTTTTGATTGGTATTACTTCTAGCTGCTGAAACTCATAGCAGAGATTTGTGTTTTAAACAATGACTGAAAGATATCCACTTTCAGTTGTGTTACTAGAAAATCTACAGTGTTGACTAGAAAACTATTTATATTCAGAATATTGAGGTATTGTACATGGATGTAATTATTGATGAAACTTTTCTGAAGCTGGAAATAATAGTCCATATCTCCCACTGCTGCCAGTAAGTGGCACAGCTATTAGAAGACATATCATGTTCATTAAATAGTATAATTCTGCTAAAAGCTTTAGATAGAGACCAGGCTTAACACACAGAATTAAAATAGGGAAACTAATTTGGACTTGAAGAGCTGAAAAGAACTAGTGAGATCTCCTGTCCACTTTTTCTCTTCAGAGCTAAAAATATATCTTTCTTTATTTGGATTAGAATTATATGGATCTCGCATGCCTTTTTATACTCAGCCCTGGCATAGTGTCTACAGCCTTAAGGATTTAAAAGAAAACAAAAGCTAAGTGAACAAAAAAAACTAATGAGATGATATTAGAAGAAGAGAGGGTAATAGAGGGGCTCATAATCTAATATGTGTCACAAAACACCTCTACTCCCAATTGGACATTAACCATACTTAGCATATTACAATCTCCTAGATGTGCTCTGGTAAGTAACGATAATAGTAAAGAAAACATTTGGTTGAGTCCAGACATTCTTTTGCTGGCAATAAAAAATAAAATAATGCTCATATTGCTTTCAATCCTTTATTCAGCTGGTCCCCCCACTATATTAGCTCATTTTCATAATGCTATAAAGAATTACCTGAGATGGGGTAATTAAAGAAAAAAAAAGGTTTAATTGACTCATACTTCCACATGGCTTGGGAGTTCTCAGGAAACTTAAAATAGTGGTGGAAGGCAAAGAAAAAGTAAGACATATCTAACATGGCAGCAGGAGAAAGAGAGTGAGGTGGGAGGTGCTACACTTTTAAACCAACAGATCTCATGAGAACTTACAATCACAAGAACAGCACCAGGGAAGTCTGCCCCCATGATCCAATCACTTCCCTCTACGTCCCTCCCCTGACACATGGGGATTACAATTTGACATGACATTTGGGTGACACAGATCCAAATGATATCAATCTGCCCTGGTCTCTCCCAAATCTTATATCCTTTTCACATTGAAAAGCCAAACATGCCTTCCCAACAGCCCCTCAAAAGTCTTAACTAATTGCTGCATTAACTGAAAAGTACATGTCTGAAGTCTCATCTGAGACAATTCCCTTCTGCCTATGATGTAAAATCAAAAACAAGTTAATTACTTCCAAGATACAGTGGGGGTATAGGCATTGGGTAAAAGCTTCAACTCAAAAAGGGAGAAATTGACCAAAACAAGAAAGCTACAGACCCCCATACAAGTCCAAAACCTAACAGGGCAGCCATTAAATCTTAAAGCTCCAAAATCTCCTTAGACTCCACGTCTCACATCCAGGGAACATTGATGCAAGGGCTCCCATGGGCTTGAGCAGCTCTGCACCAGTGGCTCTGCAGGGTAAAGCCCCTATAACTACTTTTACTGGTTGTGTGCCTGCAACTTTTCCAGGTGCACAGTGCAAGCTGTCAGTGGATCTACCATTCTGGGGTCAGGAGGATGGCAGCCATCTTTTTACAGCTCCACTAGGCAGTGTCCCAGTGGGGACTCTGTGTGGTAGCTCCAAATCCACATTTCCTCTCTGCTCTACCATAGCAGAGGTTCTGCATGAGTGCTCCACCACTGAAGCTGACTTCTGCCTGGACATCCAGGCATTTCCACATATCCTCTGAGATCTTGGTGGTGATTCTCAAACCACAATTCTTACCTTCTGTGCTCCTTTAAGACCAGGAATATGTGGAAGCTGCCAGGTTTGGGGGTTGCATCCTATGAAGCAACAGCTCATGTTATACATTGGTGCTTTTTAGCCATATCTAGAGCTGGAGTAGCTGGGATGCAGGGCACCAAATCCTGAGGCTGTACCTGGCCCATGAAATCATTTTTCACCCTTAGGCCTCCAGGTCTGTGATGGGAGGGGCTGCTGTGAAGATCTGTGACATGCCCTGGAGAAATTTTCCCCATTGTCTTGCTGATTACCATTCAGCTTCTTGTTACTTATACATATTTCTGCAAATGGCTTGAATTTCTCCCCAGAAAATGGTTTTTTTTCTACCACAAGGTTAGGCTGCAAATTTTCCAAACTTTTATGCTCTGCTTCTCTTTTAAACATAAGTTTCAATTTCAGACCATCTCTTTCTTCACACATATAAGCCTACACTTAGAAAAACCCATGTCACTTCTTTTTTTTTTGAGACGGAGTTTCACTCTTGTGACCCAGGCTGGAGTGCAATGGTGCAATCTCGGCTCACCACAACCTCCGCCTCCTGGGTTTAGGCAATTCTCCTGCCTCAGCCTCCTGAGTAGCTAGGATTACAGGCACACACCACCATGCCCAGCTAATTTTTTGTATTTTTAGTAGAGACGGGGTCTCACTATGTTGACCAAGATGGTCTCGAGCTCTTAACTTCATGATCCACCCACCTCGGCCTCCCAAAGTGCTGGGATTACAGGCTTGAGCCACCACGCCCGGCCCCCATGTCACTTCTTGAATGCTTTCCTGCTTAGAAATTTCTTCTGCCAGATACTCTAAATTATCTCTCTCAAGTTTAAAGTGCCACAGATCTATAGGGTAGGGGCAAAATGCTACTAGCTCCTTTGTTAAAACAGCAAAAGTGGCCTTACTCCACTTTCCAGTAAGTTCCTAGTCTCCATCTGAGATCACCTCTGCCTGGACTTCATCCTTCATATCACTGTTAGCATATTGGTCAAAACCACTCAACAAGTGTCTAGGAAAGTTCCACACTTTCCCACATCTTCCTTCCTTCTTCTGGGCCCTCCAAACTGTTCCAAACTCTACCTGTTACCCATTTCCAATGTTATTCCCCCATTTTCAGGTATCTTTACAGCAGTGCCCCATTATGAATACCAATTTTCTGTTTTAGTCTTTTTTTCACACTGCTATAAAGAACTACTTGAAACTGAGTAATTTATTTTAAAAAAGAAGTTTAATTGACTCACAGTTTCACATGGCCTCAGGAAACTTACAAGTGTCCTGGAAGGAAAAGGGAAAGAAGACGTGTCTTACACAGCAGCAAGGGAGAGAGAGCAAAGGGGAAAGTGCCAGACTTTTAAACCATCAGACCTCATGACTCACTCACTGTGATGAGAACAGCACAAGGAAACTCTGATCCCATGATCCAATCACCTTACTTCAGCTTCCTTCCCTGACACGTGGGGATTACAATTCAACATGAGATCTGAGTTGGAACACAGAGCCAAACCCTATCACCTCCCTCTTAAGTCCGTTTCTTTGTCTTTCTCACTCATATAAATCTAACTCATTTTTCAGGTTCAGGTCTTGGTTTTTAAGTTAAATCTTCACTGATTATAATATTATAATCTTTCTCTCTTATAAAATTAATAAAATGACATTTTTAGGAAAACATTAGCATATTAATTTATATAAGCACACGAATATGCATTATCATGTATCATTTAAGAATTCTGTGTACTAGAACAATTATCTTCTTAAAGATAGAAGTATGAGGTTTCCAGAGTCTATGGGTTTCTGAGGTTTGCTCAAAATAACATATCTAACAGCAACAACAACAAAATAGCTACCACTGATTGAGTGTTTACAACTTGACAAGAAGTTGCATATATTAAGAAATCTGCAGATGTTATACTATTTAATCCACGTATCAACCCTATGAGATAGTATGTTAATTTGCTATTGCTGCACAACATATCTGGTGTTTAATAATACTCATTTACCATCTTACAGTTTGGAGGCTCAGAAGTCTTGGCTGGCTCACCTAGAAACTTTGTTTATGGCCTCACAAGGCCAAAATCAAGTATCACCCAGGCTAGGCTTTTACCTGGAGCTCTGGGGAAGAATTCACTTCTGAGATATTCAAGTCTGAACAAATTCAGTTTCTTGTGGTTGATCACCTTTTCTTACTGGCTGTCAGCTGAGTGCTACTCCCACCTCTCACATTCCTTTACATATGGCTTCATCCATCTTCAAAACCAGCAATGGTACATCAAATCCCTCCACGCATAGAATCTCTGATTTCTTTTTCTGTTATCAGCTGGAGAAAACTGCATTTATAATCTCACGTGAATAGATTAAGCCCAACCAAATAATCTTCCTTTTGCCATATAACTTAACATAATTGAAAGACTGATATCTCATTATATTCACAGGTCTAGTCACATGTAGGGAAGACATTATATATGAGTGAGAGTCACCAGGGATCATTCTTAGAGTTTTTCCCAACTTACATCATTATCGCCATTTTTCAGGTAAGGAAACTTAGGCACAAGATAGAGCCAGAACTTGAAGACTTCTTTAAATACTGTTTTGTGCTGTTTCAATTAAATCATGCTTTAATTTCACTGTTTAAGCTCTACTTCTATAAATACTGCCTTATATTTCCCTCTACTTACAAGCTTCCCTAGATCATTATAAAGGTCTCTGGAACATCTGTTGAAGTGAATAGCCCTTGTTACCTAGGATAAATGTGTTAATTTCCTCTTTAACATCTTTCTGCTTTCTAAACACCAAAGATAGAATCAACTCTTAGACCATCCTGCTTGTTTGATGAAACTATAAGCATTTATAGATGTTTTAAAAATAACTTTTATCTTCTGCATATTTAAACAAAGCCTGTTATAAAAAAAGGAAGAAAAGTTAAACTAACATTACCCTGTGCTAGATTATAGAGATCACTATACAACTTAGGCAGTATAATTTCAATCCCAAAAAATTAATTTTTGCCAAGAGTGCTTCTGATTTATTTGAAAATGTCATTTACTCAAACAAAATTAAAATGCAATCAAAACTTATTTGGAATATACCTGATAAATACTAGTCAGGCTCAGTATAGAATGTAGTGGTAAGACATTGAGTGAGGCATGATACTGACTGAGAGATTTACAGTAATTAATGTGACACATAAACATATGCTCTGTGACTTTTCTCCTTATTCTTCACATATATTCATGAACTATGTCTGAATTAAAGCCTTTGAATCTTGTGTAACTGGGTAGGGGATACTGAGTAAAGTACATAACCTCTGTAGGTCTTGTTCTTCTTAACTATAAATTATAAATGGATAGAATAGAGGTTATCTTCACAAATCTCCCATTTATGGTCAGAAATACGATAAATTCTGGGTAAGAGTTGAGAAAAAAAAAGAGAGCTGAGAAATATTGTATTAACCATACATCTCATATTTTCATTAAAGCATTATAACAGAACATATAACATTTCTTCAAGTGAATGAATAATAAAAATAGCTATTCACAGCTTTTTCAGCTTCTACATCTAGCATAAATAGTTGTCATAGACATAAGGGGTAAAAATATGGTAATCCCCACGCCACCCCAGTCACAACTCAACTCCTAGATTGATTTTGTTTGGCTACCTAGGGTTTCTTTTGTTTGTTTCGTTTTCTTAAGAAACAATTCAATTTCTTTTGGGTAAGATGTGGCTTTTGGATTGCTATACTCTCCAACGTGTCTAGTCTGCTCTGCTCATTTAAATAACCTGTATGGCCATGCCATCATTGACTTTGGAATGTATGATTAAATTAAAACAATTTTGGTTAGAGGTTAGGAAGACTTTATCATTGTTGACAATATAAGCACTGAACAAGCTTTTTATAAAAAAATTTTGGAGATGAGGTATCACTATGTTACCCAGGTTGGTCTTGAATGCCTGAGCTCAAGTGATCCTCCCATCTTGGCTTTCAAAAGTGTTGGGATTACAGGCATAAGTCAGCTTGCCTGGCCTGAGATTTTTAAAGAAAATAATAGCATTGCATTTTTTTTGGAGTACTTCCAATAAGGATACACTCTAAACTGAAAAATAATTTCAAGAAAAATTATTAAATTAATGCTTTAAAGCTCTCAGCTTAACATTCAATAACAAATAATAAATACACCTTTATATGAACTATCAAAATGAGCTTCATGGGTAATTTCAAACCCTTCTACATTCCTTGAGTGACAGTCCAGCAAGTGATTATGGTGGAAGCTAATGCAAAATAGTACTACTCACTATAAATTTGATAAGGTATGTTTAAAACAGAAGTGTTCAGTCCGCTGAAACTGTAAAGATTAATCATGATCTTCAAAGTTATAAAATAAGAATTTATATTTTATTTAGTCAGTTTTACTCACTTTCGTCATCTGTTCTTCAAAATCTTTTCCATTATACTGTTTCTTTACTTTGAAGTGGGGTTTGTGACCCACGTGAAGTAATTATTTCCATGGCAAGTATCCAGATTGCTAGATATTGGAAACCAAAACCTCATGTATGAGAGGATCAGTCCCTAAACCCCTTTATCATTCACATTGAAATCAATGATATACTATTTAGCTACTGTAGTTTGTAAAACCATCTGGCTTGATTTGTTTTGAACAAAGAAACTCATTTTTTTTCTTCCTAATTTCTCCCTTGCTACAACAGAGTTTTTGTTAAGATCACATCAACATATCCTTTATAAATTCATTACAGAAATAGATAGAGCCCTAGTTAAAGACTCAAAAGGCAGGGTAGTGCTTCAAATTGAGTGGGATTTACACGTGGTTAGGAGGGAAGAAGGCCAGAGTAGTGAAGTGTCAACAAAGATCACTGATTGATTTCTTTAGCTATGAGGTAATGGTACCCATCAGGGTCTTTGTCCAAATCTTCTGAGTGATATTGACAATGTTAGAGAGTTTTATTTGTAACTGAAAAGATAAATTACACAGAAAAGGAGCACAAAGTGGTTTCGGTTGACATTGTTTCTTTAGATTCATTATAAGTCTGAGTTTGTACACCTATATATAAAAAGAAAACTGTGAACAATATAATGGTAACACATTTCAGAATACAGTGTGGGGAAAGTAATCACATGAGTTCATACGACATGTCCTTGACCAAATGTACTGTGCTTTTTTTTAAAAAAAAATCACCTTTAAGCAAAGATATAATACTAAAGATTGTTTTGACAACTCCAGTTGAATAGCATCTACTAATGTGGATATAGTTACAACCAGATCCGTAACACTGAACTTTATTGAAGAACATACTGGCCTTCTGTTATCCCTAAAACTATTCTAAAGTAATATATAGACGATTGTCACATTAAAAATTTCTTTATGCATTTTTAATATTTATAAAATATATATAGAGAACAAATTCTCTTCTCCAGTTTCACTAAAAAGTCTCTCATTTCTATAAAACACCTATGTCTAAAAAGTATCTGTTTTATAAACCTTTTGTTTGTTCAGATTCTTTATTTTTATGTGTGTTTTTTTTAAATTATAGTCAACTCTACTTTGTATGGAATCTTGATCTTAAAGTATTTGCTAGCTTACTTCAGTCTGCTTAAATAACATATTTTTAATGCTGCATATATGAACATTTTTTTAAGTTCTACAAATACTAAACCTGAGAGAGAGAACATTCTTCCTCAATGGAATACTTGTTATAAATGTATACATATAAATTTTAATGAGTACTTAAAATACAAACACATTTAACACTTGAATTAAATATTGATTTTATTTTCTGTCTAAAAAAGTCACCACTAAAAGTAGATACACGCTTCATTCACTGCACATATTGCTCACTCAACTTATATGATTGAATGAATTTTTAATTTTACCATGTTATAAATGATACGTGGTGATAAAAGTGGGTGACAACTATTGCCAAAGCAGTATTTGTTTTGCTCTATAAACATATTATCGAGTCTGAATCAATTTAAGATATTATAAGGCATAAATATTATAATATTCTCAACTGTTCATGCAGAATTGTAATAATGTCAAAGTGTTGTGAGCTAGACAAAAAAGTAAAGAATTATCATTTATGTCAGTGGTTTTGACTAAACAGCAGCCTGTGGGATAATTTTTTAAGTGGCCTGCTTTTCCTTATACATTGAGCACAGAGAAATGACTTTGCAACTCAGAAAATACTAGAGTCGATCCTCCATGTCACATTACATGTCACATCATAGTACCCAGCAGAACTCTTTCAGTCACACTGAAGAATTCATT